AAGGTTAAAGTTGTAACTTGGATGAATGAGATGGTTAGGGAAAACAATGATGGTAATCATTACTTTAAAGTATGCATGGCAAATTTTTAACTTTAAGCATTACATACCGATGAGAGAAAGAATGAGATCGCTCTACCAGGTAAGTTTATGATATATTCGTCAAGTATTATCATGGAACTGCAGAAACATTGACATTAATCTTACGGTCTTTCTTTCTTCTGATGTTAATAGACGGAAGTACAACATTTTGCTCTTCCTCCATTGTGAACTCCATCCACTTCTCATCGTCAAAGATGCTTACGAGATTAAGAACGTCAGAAGTTATTGAGCTTTAAGAAGTACAAAGTATGATCTACAGTAGAAAAATGGCCGCACATCAATGAATCAAGGTTCAAAGTACTTTCATTATATTAGCGTCTCGTCCTTAATAATTGAGTTTCTACTACCAAGTCCCCCTTTATTAATTTTTCTTTTGTCTCATTTTCTTCTTTCGATTTCTTTCAGATTTTCGTTGCTGATCCTTGTTATCTAGAATTACAATATTCTACTATACACCATTAGTTTGTGCTAAAGGAACATCGTTGTAGGTTCTGAAAGCCTATCACCTATCAAACATATTTTTCAAGGCTTCTAGAAAACACTTAACTTGATCTGTTATTATCTGTTGATATTTTTGAATAATTTCAAATTTGTCGTGTTTGCATCATCGTCGCTCCGTAGAATAATGAACACGCGATTCAGATTTCAAAAGCTCTGCCGGTATGAAGCAAATTTTCCAGCCTTTGAATGACTTTTCCGTTTATTAAATTTTCAACTCAATTTCAGTTACTTAAAGGTGGGAGAACAAGACAAATTTTCACTTCTAACAAGTCAGTATATCAATACAAGAAGAACCTACAGAACGTAAAAAGTATCACGTGGTCGTGACTACATTATCCATAGTCTGTTCAATAAATGTCGTTCGTATATCCGATAATCGATAATGCATCAGATGGGGGAAAGAAGAACAGAATTCCAGAACTTATTTCGAAAACTCGTTTCGATCATTCGTGTTCTTCTCAGACAGAGGTGTGGACGATTCGACGGTCACAGACACAGCACACAAGATCGGTGTTAAAGTTTGTTTACATTTGGCTGATAACGTTTCTGCCAAACAGCACCTGCTATGCCGAAGGCAAACATCATATTGTTTTGTTTACTGTTCTATCACTGGAACAATGAATACCTCTCATGAGTTTTCAACGACATTCAAGCAAAATCTAACTTTAAATTGAGCCCACAAAAAAGATACGTACCGCATCCTGTTGGACCCAAAAGTAGCAGATTCGATTTGTCCAGCTTCAGTTCGTCGCTGTCCGAGTTGACCACATCCGTGATGTTCTTCTTCGGCACCGAGTTTGGCGCTCCATCTGCGCCCGGACCTCCGCCACCGATGCTGGAGCCTATCGAATTGGGAAAACCAGGGATACCGGCAAAAAACACGTCTAAAGCAACACCGCAATGACAATCGTACGCCAGACGTTGCTTGAATCACCACGTGACGTGACCGAGTTGTAGGCGCGCGGCGAGTCTGACACAACCGGATCCGCCTTCTGTACTGTCGACGGCTTCGGGTTATGGCTGATCCGTTTGTAATGGTTATATATAGCGACCGACAGGATCTTCTTAGCCAACTGCTGACCAACGACGTACTTGTCCAGATATTCATATATCTAAAATTCGAAACAGTTACTGAAGGGGGAAAGAACATAAGCGACTATGGCTCTCTAACCGACTAGCGTTAAAACGATACAACAAGAGTCAGGTGTTATTATAACTTAAACCTAAGTGAAGCCAAACCTTAAGACTGTGAGTGCAGACGTACAACATGGCATACCACTATACAGCGCATTTACCCTGCAAGAGCACTATCAGAAACGTCATTTCTGCGAAAGTTTGTAATCCCATAGCCGGAGGATAAAATCGTGCGAAAAGTTTAATTTAAAGAGACAGAGATGCTTTCCAATGGCGATATACAAAGTTATTCATACTCAATATAATTTTTACGACTTTTTATTTTATTTCTACGACTATCAGGTCAACGTCAAGCATAACTTGCATGCAACCTCACATTTATAAGCATGTTGTAACCGAAAAACTCCTGCCGATATTCTGATGGTACTCCTATACAATGAATCGAATTAGCACGAATTTCAACAGGTTCAAAACGTCCAAACACAGTGAACGCATATTCCCAGCGAATGTCCTCGAAAAATACAATCTTCAACCTTCTTCACCTACATATTCCTCTCCTCCGTCCCTTTTTATCTTCATTCTCACATTTTGTCATCACATTTCCGTCTTCTTTATTATCCTTAATTTCTCACTGGCATTCTTCATTTTCTACTTGTACCCACGTCTGATCTCTTCCTGACTCCTATTCCTAACGTACTTAATTATATGGGTCGAATCGATTTTCTTTGTTCTCTGATTTTACTCAAATCTTTAATCATTCCTAGCGACATGGAGCTAACTTTTTTATCCTTTCCATTTTTTTCAACCCTGTTTTGAACCATGTTTCTTAGTAGATAATGATTCTTCTATTCCAGTGGCCAAACCAATGTGGCCTGCTTCCGGTCAATTTTAAATTGCGTTTACGGTTATCAAAGTTAGCCCTAGTGTGTCCTTTTATGAAAGCATAAGATCGCGGCCCTTTCTGTTAATACCATATATTCACCTGAGCATTTACCGTTGTACGGACTTGCTGCTGCTCGTGTTACAACGATCTGCAGAGGATCGAAAAAATAATAGCTAGTTTTGAGTTACAACTGAGTGAGTGTCACAAAATCATCATATGTTAAGCGTGGTCAGCACTAGGACTGCTGAGCTAAGGAGCAGTTCAGAAGACTACGTTGGATCTGTTAGGCAGTCGGTGAACCGGCTCACGAAGATGTCTCATCAGCAGTCTCCAAGTCTGACCGTGAGCAGCAGCTAGAAAAGCAATAGGCGGAACTCTGCTACGAATGTCTGCAGCAGTTTCGAGATACGATGAGCAGAAACTTCTACTATGATGATCACTACAGCACGCATCAGCTGGACAGCGTCCAACAACATGGTTTGCGAGGCATGCTGAAGATTCATAGGTACGATCGTGTTAGGAACGATCACGATTTTGAATTGGCAAATCTCAAATCAGTTTCTGAACCTTTTCAGAGACCGAAGGTTGGAATGGTTCAACCATTTGCAAGCAATCGACCAAGTCTTTGGTGGCTGGACAACTGTAGAGCCGAAAACCGAAAAATCAGAATCACCCGACAGAGGAAACTAAACGAAAACCTGTTGACAAGGAGAAATCTTTTTTTATTAATATCAAAATGTTAAGCTTTAAAAAGAGCGACCATCAGGAGTTTTAGGCAACCTGGAGCTTTGCAAGGCCGTTAAATTATGACGAAAACCACCGCTACCAAAACATGGCTGAAGTTTCGTAAACCGAAGTGTAGTAATAACGGAGATGATCGGAAGTCGCTGCTTTATTGAAAAATGAAGGATTTATGTTCATTCACCCACGCAATAATATGTTGGTATCATCTTGACAAAATGAATTTGCTCGCACTACAGCATGAGCAGACATCGAGCAGGATTTGAAATATCCTTCTTCAGTTCCCTACTCTCGAACGCTTTACGCTTAAGACAAGAGATTACGGATATCATATCACACAATTAAACCCTGACCATTTTGCTTTGCGTTGCGTCGTATTGAAAAACTGTAGAAGAGAAGAAAATAATCACATGTCAATTCTACGGATTTACACGTCATAGTCGCAATGTCTCTATGCTCATGGCACCTAGGGGTCATTTAAACAAGTTCACGGCTGCATGGTACATGCAGTCCAAGGATGCAAAACCGTATCATTGATTAGGACCGAGCCAAAACTTGTCCACAGGAATTATCCATTTAAATATGGAGCCCGGCATTATAGGCTTAATAGTAAATTGGTAGTTTTCGATACTGCTGGTATAAATGTCCATCTCGTATTAATATTTCGTGAAAACAAAAAGAAGCAAAAATAAAAAAAGGAAGCGCAAATCGCGTGAGCACATTTTTTGCGATTCCAAACGATCAGCTGCAGTGGACAACTATCCCAAGTCAACGACCTTTTCAACTACCTTACTCTGAAAAAGGCCCATGTAATTTTGGCAGAAATTTCGCCACTGGTTTGTCGTCAAGGACCAACCATCATATTGCGTAATGTACAACAAACTCTTTTTCTGGGTAAATTTTCTCAAACGGAACATCTAAGATAAATGGTCAAATAACTCATAACTATAAACTAACAAACTAATCATGATTTTTTTACAGTTACTTTTAACCTAATCTAATTCTTAATCATATCTGGCAACAACAGTCTGAGAAAAAAGTTTTTAAAACTTAATCAGAAAACTTTCGCCAAAATGATCAAATTACGACCACTTAACAACACACGAATGGCAGTTGTTTACTGAAAAATCGACGCTTTAAATGAGAAACTGTACCTTTTTCGGCGAAGGAAGTGTCTTCAGCTGCGTCTTAGCGACCACACCGCTTTTCCGGGTATCCGTTTCAGACAAAACAACGAAAAAGTGATGGCACCGTTCGCACTTGACGAATCGCGTCGAAGCTGTAAACACAACAACATCATACCCAATCAAGTAAACAAACAAACAACAACTAAAACAAAATAACAAGTTCACTGCAAAGCGGCAACTCACAAACAAACGTTTCGACGTGGGTGCACGGGTCCCCGCATTTCGGGCACTTCAGAACGTACGAATCACCGCCATCTTCCCCATCGCTGCCACCGCGACCACTTCCGCGACCACTGCCGCCACCGCTGGAGAGGCCACCATCGCCGTCGGATGTGTTGCAGCCTTTTTCGCCGGTATCCGAAGGACCACGGCCATCTTTGCCGGCGCCACTGCCGGACGACAGACCGCGAACATGCCGAACGGTCAGCTGCTCGCCTACGGAACGAGTGAGCGTCAGTGAAGACCGACACTGCTCTTCGGAAATGTACAAGATGCTCTGTCGGTTGTACGCCGAGAAACACCGCAGCTCTCGGAAAATATACGCCTTTCGCAGAAGTCTTGCGAACAGTCTTACTCTGCCCATTCTTGCAGTATATTCGAAAAGCAAACTTGAGGCTCTTCTGCAATAAGGACACAACAATAAACGTTCACATCATTCAAGAAACAGTATATCCATCGTTACTGAATAGAAGCACAGGTGTTTATTAGACGAAACGCGACACCGTAACTGAAAAGCAAAATTGTCAAGTTAGAATGATTAAGACATTGTTTAGCTGCTATATACATAAGAAATTCTACACAAAGCAGCACATGCATGATTTGAAACCAAACAGGGTACAAATAACTCGAAATAATCTTCATCGTTAATGACCGCCATTCCTTTCGGTTTCCGGTATCAGAAGCGTCAGGTAGTGCTTCCAACCCTTCCGATTCAAAAAACAGCCGAAGACTAGGGAAGATTCCTTCCATATATTTGCACCAAGTTGATCTTGGCCATCATCAGGAAACTGCCTGTTGGCTGTACAAGGATTAGATGCTTCGCCTTCCTCTCTGGATGCATTCGCAACACATGACCAAGCTGCAGCTGTGACGTCTCAATCTGAAGAAGAAACGGCACTAAGTGTCTCGCGGATTTCTGTACTACGGACCAGATCGAAACATGCCGGCGACTCGCCTCAGAAAGCCCAAAAGCAGCTTTTACCCGAAATCGTTGTTTTTTACTCGCAGTACACGACTTATAACTATAGTCAAACATGCAGAAAATGAGGGACGTGAATATCAAAAGCTTATTATTCAGACTCAGCTCTGCTTTATTCGCAATGGTCGGGCTGGCTCACACAGAACGCCACTGGCTACATCAAACTGTCGGTCGGTCTCTTTCTCAAATTTTCTATTTCCATTATACACAACCCAAAGGTACTAAAACTTTTCAACCTGCACCACTACTTCCTTGTTTATCTAAAGATAGCAACGGGCAAGAGAACGCAAAATCGCTAAACTGCTCGATTTAGATACGTTTACAAGCATGCCGTCGACGTCGCACTCGGCTGCGAACTTTTCCAGAGAGCACTGTTAATCAGTTTCACAAGGTAACGGGTTAAAGAGTTCCTCAAAGTACTCTCTCCATCGCCGAAGAATGTTCTAATTATCGATAAGAAGGTACGTAGCCCTGTCCTTCAAGACTCTTATGTAGCTTATCTACATCATTGACCTAAAGAATGACTATGAGTGGATCCAGCTTAAGAGTCTACGAATGTATGAGATCGATGATCAGGAGCTTCAAGCCATCTAATCACTATAACCTGATATCAAATATAGCGTCAGAACTAGTGGCGTTAAGTCGAAATATTCGGTATTGGCACTGCTGTCCGCCAAGGCTTCGCTCCGTTCACTCTCTTATTTGTGTTGTACATAGGTGCAATATTCACGCGCTGTGAGACCGATGAATGTATTAATGAACGAGATGTTGAAGCGAAAAAGTTGCTGTTTGTAGACAACCCTGTTTTATTGGGATCTTCTAAAACCGATCTATAGTGCTCCCTAGAATGGTTGCTGAGTACGACCTGGCTGACATGCGTCTCAACAAATCTAAAACGGAAAGCCTAGTCATTTCTTGTTGCTTTCTTCAGATTAACGGAGGTACAGTGGAGCATGTGAAGAAGTTTACCTACCTCGGAGGAATGTTTACTATGATGGAAAATTTGAAGAAAACATCGACTGGCGCATCAGAGCATCCAGTTGCATCCGAATTATTATGACGAAAGCAGAGATGAGTCTGAAGACTTAGCTGTCAGTATTCAAATCGATCTTAATCTCCACGCTGCTCTATGGTTATGAGTCGTGGACCACTAGTGAGAAAGTTTTATCCCGGGTACCAGGGGCTAGAATGCGCATTCTGAGACGCTTTGCTGGCTTCCGGAATGAAGACATCGGCTATAAACATGGTGCACCGTCGCTATGTCACCAGATTGAAAAGTGACAGCTACGACGATTTGGGCATATGTTGCGAATGCCTTCAGAAAGAAACGCGAAGGAACCGTTTCTTGTCAGACCAACGTAAAGCCTAAGGTACGGCCAGATTATCCTGGGACAAATATACGGAATGAGTCTGCTCCAGATTCCATTTGTCTTCTGTCAAAGCTCT